AAATTATGGTATATAATTGACATCATTTTACTCTCATTACTATAAAATAACTATAAATTCTTTTGTTACTGTAAATTAAGAATATCCACATGGAATCTATATTCCAAGTAATTTCACTATTCCGGATGGAAATGCTTTTAAATTTATGCTATATTCTGGTGGACATTTCTGGTTCAAATGTAATACTGCTAGTGGTAATTGGGATATTGGTAAGTGGATATGTACTTATTTGATATTTATTGCGACTTGTAATGCTTATGATGTTATGTGATTATTAGATCAATCTCGCAATGTATTTTTTAACAACAAAGAAGATTTTTATCAGTACCCACATTTAACTTCGGCTGAATTAGATTTCAGAGGCATGTAATAATTAAATATAATTATATTTTGAATATTTTGAACCTGTTAACGCCCAGATTCTGGTTGAAATAATACTTTTGAACAGAAATAAATCTGCATTGCGTTAATTTTGAGTGATTGAATATTAATAAAAAAAAAAAAAAAAAAAAAATTAAAATTCATTGGAAAAAAACGAATTTCTTTAAATAGAGAATGTCAACATTCGGATTTTAATCACAATTCTTTCAATTTCATAATAATTTAGGCGGTACAATTTATTTTAGATCATCTATCCCAAACTATGATGATTCATCAATGACAGTAGCTGTTATTGGTACCGCACCATCGCCTAATCCAAGAGAGAATCGTGATTCTGAAATTATTTCTGTTACTGTAATTAGCATAATTCTATTATAGTTGTTTCAATTATTACTAATTATTAATGATTAACATTTATATAAAAAAAATCAACAGAGTACCACAGGAAAAGGGGCATTTTCAGATATTACCTACGTCATTTTCACAGACGTTAAGGGCGGATTACCACCACCAAGTAAAGAATGTAGGTTAAAAAAATAATTGAGAATGATATTAAGCGTTATTATTCTTTTATTCACAATATTTTATTACATGTTGTAATTTAATAGGTGGAACCAAATATCCAGATGGTTATATCTATTCTAGAACATTTACTGCACCACTCTTATTCTACAGAGCCGCTGAAAAAGAATATTAAACGAAATTCAATTTAACATGTCATGACTAATGCCATAGTTAAAATAAATCTTACATTATATGTTCCGCGTTATTTTTCAAATTTTGTCTATTAATTGACATGTGTTATTTGTGATTAAGAAATGACATATGCTATTTTACAATTA